TTTTCAGCCTGGAATGATTATTATTTGGTTATAACCAATGCATTTCCGCCGTCGCGGTTTTAACCAAAGTAGGGGAAGTTGTGACGTCACATATCAGCTGATTTGCTTTTGGTATTTACCACTTATAACCGATTATAACCCAGCTTTGGACTTGGGTTAATCTTTTGGTTACAGCTTTTTGATGTTATTGTTATTATTTTTGGAATTTGTATTGGTGTTTTGTGATTTTGCAGTTGCGTTGTAGCCTGGCACAATGGAAGAAGTATACATTCACTCACTCACTGCAATTCACCATGTTTAGATCGAGGTTTAGATCATCCCCAAAGAAAATCTGTTCGATAAACGAGAGTAACGAGAGATTCAGCTCCATTTTTTGTACCTAAACAAAAAACTATTGTTGAAATGAAAAAACAAATAAGAATAATAAACATAATCCTACACTGCTATAACCAAATCATTTCAGCGGTCAGTTCCTTGGGTTATGATTCTTGAATGGTGGGGGACTATGACGTCACACTTGGCTGTCAAAGTTGTCAACCAAAAGAATAACCACGGTATTTACCGATAAATAATCATTCCAGGCTGAAAATCGCCTCAAGTGACTTTTGCCAACCAGCCGGCATTTTGAAATTTTTATGAGGTTAGAATACGGGTTGTTACATGTCAACGATGTCAGAAAAGTGTCAGATTTGAGTACCCGCCCCGTGTATTGATAAAGCCTAGTACTCAACACCGCGAAATTCGCTCTTTTTTGACATTGCTTCGATAATTTGACGTTTGATTCACGCATAAAACGTCAAATTGTCGAAGCAATGTCAAAAAAGAGCGAATTTCGCGGTTATGAGTACTAGGCTTAATCCTGCCTAAAAAAAACATATGTTTTTTGTTTATTGTTTGCCAACCAGACGCCATTTGGACAGGTCATTGGATTGCCTAATTCTGTTATATATACGGGCCCTGGTAAACCCGGAAAAATTGGTCGATTTAATGTTGATTTTTAAAATTATTTTTTCTTACCTAGGGGGGGCCATGGCCCCCATGGCCCCTCCCTGGATCCGCGCCTGGTCCAGGGCGCCATTTTTAGGAGGGCGGCAAAATTGCCGATTCTTGTATGCTTTAAGACTTGCCTGTAACCAACATCATTATTGAAGTGAAAACTTTAGGAGCGTTTAGCAAAACAAAACGAATTGTTAACGCTCATTCGATCGGTTCCAGTCGGCTCGAGTCGAGTTCAGGCAAGCGAGAGAAAAAACCGTCAGTAGTGCTAATAGGTTTTCTGGTAATGGCAAACAGATGACGCCATCAGGTGGTGCATTATGTTCAGGCATAGGTACATATGACGTCATAAAAGTTATCAGGGGAGGGTTTCTCAACTTCTAGTCGCAACCTATCGTCCCTACTATCCGCTTCGCGTTTCTACAAGTGGTCGAGACGTTACGTATCGACAGGTCAGATTGAGAATCCCACCAGGGGTCGTATTTTCGAAACCATGCGAATTCTTTCGCATGCGATCTAATTCGAATGAAAAAAGTCGTGTACGAACTGAAATGCGTATTTTTGAAGGCCCTTCGAAAATGATATCGTATACGAGTATCATTTGCGTTAGCAACGTCGCAAATTCGAGTATTGGGTAATGGCCATTTCGACCAATACAAAAACGAAGAGGTAGTTTTTGACATTTGGCTTTTTAAAAATACCATAACACACCCCAAGAACACACCCTACTTTTGCTGTTAACCCATAGACTATCCAAGATGCTGTCAAACTTAAATGAAAATGTCTGCCAAGAGGCACACAAACCCTTTGTTTAGGTGTTATTATAGTTATTAATGATACAAGTTCGATATGAACGCCATAATGAAACGCGTGTAACGTTAAACCACGAGGCGTTAGCCGAGTGGTTTAGTTACACAAGTTTCATTAATAAAGTTCATATCGAACGTGTATCATTCAAAATTTAATCTACAATGGTTCAAATAGATTTGATTTGCCTTGAAATAGCAAAAACTTTTCAAATTAAAATTTGAAATTTAGCAGGTGCCCGTACAAGTCGAGAACCTGCTTGTTGGTTTTTAGAATTTTGACTTTGGCAGCTTCAATATTGGAGTCTATTTTTGTGCCATAAATTCAATTTTATGGTGGAAAATAATATTATTATTGGTGAATCTGAGTTCGAAAGTGTCTCTTCGAATATAGAGACAGCATTATTGAAAAGGTTCTTCTGGCAACTAACTTTCTTTTTGTATATTTTTCATTTCAAAATTTGGGTGTTATTATGAATTCTTAAACGCACTAGTGCTATTATGAAGGACCTAATGACATTCAAATGACAATGCTAAATGTGTCATAATGACACCGACGTAGATTAAATGGTGTTATGAGTTTTAAATAGTGCTAATTGTGAATTATCTACGTTGTTATATTTAAAACTGTTGTATTTATGTTGGAAATATAAGTATTTAAATAGTGTATGTGAATAGTAGTTCGTATTCCTCCTGCCGGCCATTTTTTGCTTATCAAAGTTGTGTTTTGGATAGGCTAATTCTTTTTTGTATTTTGTGGCTGTTTATTGAGTTTATCCATTGAGTTTATCAAGTATTATTAATTTAGTCTATTCTGTTGGTATAAATTTTGCTGAAATAAATTTTGTGCACCTAATAGTTGGGATTTCCTTGAACGTCCTTGTTTTTTATAACGTTAACTAACAATCATGGTTTTTGGAGGGTTTGTGTCTGCTGAACAAAAGAAAGATTTGATTAGCTCCATGGAGGAGCATCTAGAACTAAAAATTAGGAAAATTCAGCTTTCAGGAGCCAAAGAAAATTAGAAGCATTTGCGCAAAGTAAGCACGTCAACCAAAGTTCTTCGAGGGCATCAATAACATTTCTTTCGATTGAATAATCCAAGCCAGCCATTCCAAAAACTGTCTTTTAATGAAGCAGGACAATTTAATCCGCAAATTATTTGAAAACGAACGAAAAGTCAAAAAAAGAACGAACATCAAACACAATTTTCAATTTACACAACGTATTTAGGTAGGTACATAAACAACAAATAACAAATATAACGTATATAAACAAAATAATTAGCATTTCAAAATTCTAAACAATGCGCAGGGGTCGTATTTTCGAAACCATGCGAATTCTTTCGCATGCGATTTAATTCGAATGAAAAATGTCGTGTACGAACTAAAATGCGTATTTTTGAAGACCCTTCGAAAATTATATCGTATACGAGTATTATTTGCGTTGACAACGTCGCAAATTCGAGTACTTGATAATGGCCATTTCGACAGATACAAAAACGAAGAAGATTTTTTTGACATCTGACTTTTTAAATGCTGGTATATATCTTGCTGAAATAAATTTCGTGCACCTAATCGTTGGGATTTCCTATTTAGAACATCCTTGCTTTTATAACGTTAATGAACAATCATGGTTTTTGGATGGGGCTCTAAAAGCTCTATCAACTCCAAGGCGAGTAGCTTCGTCAGGCGATATAATTTTCGGAACTAAGTACCTACCTACACCAATATTTTTCCAGCGGATCAAGAAAGGGATGTAACACCCTATCCCTACGATCTGCCAGTATTTTTGTTTCTTCGAGGGCATCAATAACATTTCTTTCGATTAGATAATCCAAGCTAGCCATTCCAAAAACTGTCTTTTAATAAAGCAGGACAATTTAATTCACAAATTATTTGGAAACGAATGAAAAGTCAAAAGGAGAAGGAACAACGAACACAATTTTCAATTTGCACAACGTATTTAGGTACATAAACAACAAATGTAACGTATATAAACAAAATAAGCACTTCAAAATTGCAAACAATGCGCAAAATGAATTAAAATCGCATGCGAAATGTGAAATTCGACGTGGAGACCCACTCGAGTAAACGTACACGAACCAAATCGTGTACGGACCGTTCGAAAGCGATTCGAAAATACGGAAATTCAATTTTCATGCGAATTTCGCCTTATTTCGTATACGAACGGCATTCGAATGGTTTCGAAAATACGACCCCAGAATCAAGTAAAATCACGTAAAATCGCATGCGAAATGTGATATTCGACTGGTGGAGACCCACTCGAGTAAACGTACACGAATTAAATCGTGTACGGACCGTTCGAAAGTGATTCGAAAATACGGAACCTCAATTTTCATGCGAATTTTGCCTTATTTCGTATACGAACGGCATTCGAATGGTTTCGAAAATACGACCCCAGGCAACCTACCTCTTTTATGGCCGAATTTATAGTCGTCCTTTGAATCTTCCTTGAAATCGCGAGTTTAGAATGGAAACTTGCTACTATTTGACAAGTTAGTCATGTCAATTTTAAATGCTCAGGGCTTCCTCAAGAACAAGGATAAATTCGGCCCTTGAAGTTCAAGGGTTGTTCAAGGCTTGAACAACCTTGATCTAAACCGCAAATGCCAGGATTCAATATAGCGGCAATTGTCAAGCATCTGTGATGTTTGTTTATTGAACCCAAGGTTCCTAAAGTTAATAGGTTGTCTGGTAATAGGTAACGTGATGACGCAGCTCGGGTGCCTTATGGAGATTTGCATAACGTTTAGGCATACAGATGACGTCAAAAAAGTTATCAGGCAACCTCCCTCTGTCAAACAATCTTGTATTAAACCTACGTTTTCTTGATTTTTCAAGTTTTCTCATCTGTCGTGTGAAGCGTACTTCGTGGCTTGGGTTCGGTAATTGCATCTGCGAGCAAGTTTTGACAGAATGTCACGTCATTTGACATGTGAAAAAAGATAAGTGATCACGTGACGTCATCAAAATTTGGTCGCAGATGCAATTACCGAACCCAGTCCATTTTTTTTATGACGTCAAAAGGGCGGCAAACTATGATTCCACCCCGGGCGACCTTAGCCTATGCTACGCCACTGTGGGTTCTGTTTGATTTAGGAACGAACTATGCAACTTCAACAAATCAATGATTTATTTAATTATTAACAAATATTCTAATTAATCATTAGTAGGTAATAACAATATGTAGTAGGTACATGTTTTGAAGAATAACCGTATTAAAGTTTTATAGGAGGCGATTTTGGTTTGTGAATTAAAAAAATAAGAATTATTATATTCACTAGGTTATGGTACTGACATTATAAACATTATAAACATAAAATGTTTGAGAAATGAAATACTATTTTGCATGGAAAATTTATAAAATTATATGCGCTATTGCTAAAATGAATTATACAGTAATTAGCATTTTATGCTATCAAAAAACTAATTAATAAATCGCTCCTCTATAAACTATAAAAACTAATACTAATAAACAATTATTATAAATAACTCCATAAATTATAACGAATAACTAATCTTACACAACAAAACTAGGTAGGTACTTTCTAATTTTTTTTAGATTCGAAAGGTCTTTCGCCGCAGAAAGCCGATATGGAATAATCGGAAATGTAGCAGAGACGGGGCAAGGATTCCATTTCGTCCTGAGAGGCTGCTCGAATGCTGATTGCTGACATAATGTTTGGACCAATCATTCTACCGACAGCTCTGCAATAAGAATTATACCTATATCATTTTAAAGTAGATGTAGATACCTACGTTTCAATTTTTATAATAATTCTCCATCATTTTCCTGACAAAAGAAATGTATTCTAACTCCGAAAAACTAATAAAGACCTATTTTTTAGAATATTTACATTAGAATTGTAATATCCAGCTTCGTCAGGAGAGGAGATACTCTCTTTTATTTCAAGTAGTCTCATAAAAAAAAGACTGTGTTGTCTGTGTTAGATTTGGCGACCTGTTAATTTCAATGTGAACATTCAATACGGTGATTAAAGCTAGATACTGTCCAAGTAAATACAATGCAAGGTTTCCTTAGTAATGATAACCCCATCAAATCCATGTTAGCGATGTTATTGAAAAATTACCACCCAAAAGGCTGCAGCGCATTCGAAAAAGTTCATACATTGATTAGGGAGGACATAACGGATGTAAAACTGATCACTATGGGCTTCTTGACAAAGCGGAGATTACTGACGACGATGAACAATGACTTGAAGAGCTGGAATATAGTCATAGACAAAGCTGGGCAGAAAACCGTTAATCCGTTATCCGTTAATTAAGTTAAAAAAATTGCTTAAATTTAACTTTTAAGTTACCTAACCTAAAAAATATTAACGGTTTTCTTAACTTCCGTTACATTGAACTTCCGTTAACTTTAGTCCGTTACATTGGTAAATGACGTCATTTTTTTGGCTTGAATTGCGCGTCAAGATTAATCGGAACAGTTCGCACAGGCGTAGGAAGATTTCAGTTCGCTACACTACGCAGTTTGGAACTGTTCTGGAATGACTCCAGACTTGATTCCGTTTAGTGAGATCGATGCGCAAGCCCTTATTTCTGTTGTGAGGTAGTCTGTAAGCTGAGGCGTATCGTTGGGCTGTGGCGTTGTCTGTATTGTTCTATAGGCTCCTTTTTCATGCAGAGGTGAATGATAAATAAATCAGCTACCTAAATTGGAAATAGTGCCGCTTTTTAGATCTAGATACTTTTTGTTTTATTCAGATTCACCTGTGTAGGAGTGTAGGTATAGTATTTTTAGTACCCATTGGGAATAACACCATCCTTGTTCATCAATCATGAATCAGATGAAACAGAAAATTACCAACCAATCTAAAACGACTGATACTTCCAAATAGGTATTAAAAATACTATAGCCTATTCTATTTCAATTATCTATTAGGTACTTATAATTAGCTTCAAACATCGGCATAACTTTTCGATGATTAACTCTTAACGGATAACTTTAACTTGCGTCATATTCTCAAAAATTTAACGATAAACGATTATCGAAGTTAACTTTTCAAGTAGCGAATTAACGATTAACGAAGTTAACTTTTCGATTAACTGTGCCCACCTCTGGTCATAGATTGAAGATTGAGAACATAACATAAATAAACGTTTGTCGGAATGCATATAGGGAAAGATTATTAAAATATAATGCCAGGTTAAACAGGATAAGTAGGTACTGATGTATGTCAAAGACCATTATTACCATCGGGAATACCTATGAGATAGAAATCTTTAGAGCAGAAGAAAAATGATTTAAATCTAGAGAAACCTTCCTCGACAAAAGTTCTCGTCACTATACGAGTGTAAAGAAGATGAGACAAAGTATTCAGGTACTTACCTCAAATTTTGTCCCAAATAAAAATCGTCAATATTAATGTGGGTTGAATTTGAATAATAATTGAGCTGCAAAACGGGTCCCTTTAGATCGCGCAGAAGCATGGTCTTTTCGAATGCTACTTTTCCCTCAGCAATCGACACAACACCTCCTATTTACAACAAAAGTATAAGTAAGTACTCTAAATTGTTTGATGATTGTCTAGCATTGTGCCAAAACAAATTTGAGACATCCACATTTTGATGCTCAGCTCTCAGTTTGGTTTTGTCACAATTGTACCTATTTTTTTCATTATAATTACCCATCACTTGGAAATAGCAAAACTGATTCTGAAATATTTTCCCATATCTTATGACACGCTCCACAGTTCCTGTCAGGACACGTAACTTGTCGACTTCGCTTTCCTGCAATTTATAGTTATTAATTAAAGTAAGGAATTAACAATACTTGGATAATTACCCCAGATTTTCTGCTTAGAGTTTTCTCAACTTGAGAATCATTCTGCGTTTTCATGGAAGTGATCGGTTTGGTTGAATATTTATTTGGTGACGGCATACCCATAAGTCCCAAGGATGCGCTTGCAGATGCATTTCCGTCACGCTAGAGAAATAAACAGAAATCCGACAACTCTTGTATTATTTGTATGGACTTAATTTTTAGATTCAGACGTATCTAATCGTTCCTGACAAACTTAGATCCAGAGAACCAATACTTGACATGTCAGCCGATAAACTGAGTTTCAAATTGGAATCAATATTTCAGCTCATTTAAAAACTGAACATTAACTATAGAACTAGACAATCGCCAAGAATATCCGACTAATAAATATGTAATTTGACGTTGGACGTTGAGACTAGTAGGGCTTCGAGTTTTGAGTGAGCAAAAATTCGAAATTAACTTACATTCTCCCTTTGACTTCCGTTTCGACCATATTCAATGGGTTTGGTAGCCGGGCTAGCGGTAGTCTTGTGCTGGTAGCGGTTGGGGGGTGCCATGCTGCGACTACCAGTAGCAGTGTTCTGAGAGTTTCTGGTGGGTGCCATGACTGGGCCAGTACTAGCACTGCTAGCAAAAAGTTTCCTAGTGGAAGGTGCGCTGCTATTGGAAGCGACACTATTGTAGCTATTCGTGGACTTCCCTTGCTTGAAACAAAAAGAAAAACAAATTTGGCTGAGATTTGGAGAAGTTTCAACAGTACGAATGTCAAATCAAACAATATTCTGGTAATCTGCATAACAATACGAGATCACAAATGGAGATCCGAACAGCTTAGAAGTGATCAATTAGAGAATAGCGATATCAAACCATTTTCGAACCTAGAGGAAACTGGCAAAAGGTTGCTCACAAAGTAAAGAAAAGAGTAATCTGGCGAACAACTAGAGAAAAACCGGGAACAAAAAGATTGTTCGTTGGCTACGATTGTTGATCCAGAAGGAGCAGCATGGAGGTGAACAAGGAACAGGTCGACATGTTTCTAGTTCCCCAGACGTCAATCCATAGGAGATTGACTTAAAGTAGACAAATTAACACTGAATACTAATAAAAAAAGCAAAGTCTTACAATAGGAAATTGTTCAAACTATCAAATCCAAAGTATTTTTAATCAAGCTGCAGAATAAGAAATTATAAAAAATTTCCAAATTTTTGGGAATAGGTATAGGTAGATTAAAATATTATAATACAGGATCATCCAACAAAAACTTCGCCCCCCCCCATAGTTCCGGAATTTACGGGAGGTCAAACTTTCGTTGGAGTGTTTGAAATTTTTTTTTGAGAAAATTTACCGACAGATCCTCAAACTTTTTCTTGGAAACTTTATTTGATGTTATTTACAAAAATATTTCATTATTTCCTTTTTTGTATTTTTCTATTTATTTTTATGACAAAATCTGCACAATTCCCCGTTGTGCCCCACCTATGGGGTACATTGGGGTACATGTGAGACAGAATAGAATAGTCGTTGAAAACTTTGTCAACAGTCTTTATTGATCTCTAACTCTATCTCTCAACTGATGTATTGACTCCGAAGAGCATTGTTGTTCCGTTTTTCTTACGTACATTCGAACCATCTAGTAAAATAGTATATTAAAGTATAAGTGGATATTACGGTCTTTAAAACACGCGCGATTTTTCGAGCACGACGGCGCAGCCGGAGTGCTTGAAATAGAGCAAGTGTTTTAAAGACCAGTTATCCACGAATACTTTTTATTGGTATACGTTCAAATCATAAATTACTAATAATTGTAGAATGCTAAATTCGTGCTTAACACTTGTTACATTTTATTTGACGTTACAAGTACCTACTCCTGACAAATCAATAATTAAAAAATTGACATTTAAACCTTTCTCGGGTTGTTGGTTGTTTATGTTGTCATTGGTAACTTCAAAACACGCGCGTTTTTGAATGTTGGATTTAAACACGCTGAGGAGTACTTTAAATAGGCGGTTACACACGGACGTGGATGGCTTGATACATATACGTGCATACATCAACGTGCAAACAACAACGTGCATGTCACTTTTGTACAGACGCTCGCACAAAACTGCAGTCTTGCTATTCTTGCTACAGTGTTCCGAGTGTGCATACAAAATTGCACATTCAAACACGCGACGGTATTTTGCATACACATTGATGTTTTTGTTTGCACGTTCCTGTATGTGCGTACATGTTTTCAGACATCCACGTCCGTGTGTTACCGCCTAATAAGTGAAATAGGTTATCAATAAAAAAAAAAAAAAATTCAGGATGATACCTAATGGTTAAATGTCGTTTAATACGAAGTAAGTTCTATAGCTACCATCTACAATGTATCTAAAACAGTTTACATCATTAAACAACATCTACAATGAAGTTTAGCAGTTCAGCATATACGTGAGGCGGGACATGGTTTACCCCGTTCTGCCCCAAGAGCATTCGTCGCCATTGTGACTACATAAACAATGGGCCACTTTCACATTTTTCAAAAACATTTTTAAATTATTTTTTTAGTCGTTCTAATACTATCTGTATACTTTTTTTCCGAAAAAAAACGCTTATTTAAAAAAAAAAAAAAAATTTAAAAATCGAATTTTTAAACTGGCGTGAAAAAATGAACTTGGTGTGTGACGTCACACACCAGAAAATCAAAGATGCCAAATTTCTCATTAGTAAATCATTACATATTTCACTAGCTAGAAAATATTTTCGTCCTTTACCTCGTCCTTTACTACATTATAAAAAAATAAAGGATAGGTATAATCCTTATTAACTCATTTAAATTTTCATTTCTACATGTGGCAACAAAAATGTCAAAATCGGCTTTAGCCAATTACAGAGCGTTTTCAATCACGTGATTTTTCGTTCAAATTTTTAGTTTTTATTTATTAATTTATTTAATAATCTGACTAAAATCTTGCAAAATATTGTTCATTCTTGGTTGCATTAATGTATCTACGTCAAAAAATATTATAATTTGCCATATTCCCGGCACGTGAAAGTGGCCCATTGAAGGGTTTTAACTAATAATTTAATTTTATGGGGAAAAGGTACCCTAAGAGAAGGGCTTTCTACCTATACTTCACAAGATTACCGGCTAGTAAAATTAAACATTCACCGTTGTTCGCAAATTCGTCAATTCTTACAGTGGATCTTCTTATAGTGGTGCATTTGGCGCAACAGCTCTCGAAGGACTACCAACAAATTTATTTAACGTATTCGTAGGGTATAGTGTTGTGAATATACATATATCGATACGGCAGCGTTGCACTAACCCGCGAAAATTTGAAACGTGGTACCCTGTTCTACCCTGGTACCCCGTTCTATACCCGGTTCCCCTATGTATACATTGCACATATACAAATTTAGTACGACGAGTGAAATTTGATCTTGGCGCCATCTTAGACTAGGATTCAACACTAAACAGCACTTTTGCTGTTTTACTACTGAACTATCGAAAAGGCCGACCAAAAATCAATGAGTTGGGAAAACCCAGAATAGGGAAAACAAGTTTTCTTCTATTATCCACTGATGTAAAAATTTTGAATTAATTTTCCTTGCTATTCCATCCACAGACGCGTTTAGACCTATCAGGTCTAACCAGTGTGGCTAGGAAAGTAAAGAAAACCAATCCAAGTTTAGTACCTGTAGGCAAAGTAGAAGTAGTACGACGAGCGAAATTTGATCGTGGCGCGATATAGGACTAGGATTCAACAAGGTCGGCCTATAAGATGGTCAGTACTAAAACAGCAAAAGTGCTGTTTAGTGTTGAATCCTAGTCTTAGATGGCGCCACGATCAAATTTTGCTCGTCGTACTAGTTCTACTTTGTCTAAAATCTGTTTTTTTGTTAAAGATAAAAGTCAAAATGACATTATGTTGGCAATACAATGTAAAATGGTCAAAGCTTCCAAATTTTTAATGTAGAAAAGGCTTGTGTTGCCAACATAGTTACTAAATTTTTGACTTGGGGAATTATCTTCAAAAAAAAAAAAAACTTTACAGGCACTAAACTTGGATTGGTTTTCTCTGCTTTGCTAACCACACTGATGAGAACTGATAGGTCGAAACGCGTCTGTGGATGGAATAGCAAGGAAAATTAATCCAAAATTTTCATATACAAATTTATACACATCAATCTGCTTATAGTCTGGCTAGCCAAACGGCGAACTCAAAAAGAATTTGCTGCTATGCCAAACTTGACAGAAACAATAATAAACAAGTTTGGTGACATATTTTTTTTTTGCAATATGGGCCGTGTAGTATTTTGAAATAGGAAAAAATCCGGCAACATTACGGAATGAAGGAAGCGGAGAGGCGTGATTATTCAGAGACATGATTCTATTGGTTAGAGCCTGAACGACAGCACCAGTGGCGTGGTTATTTGTGAAACTCAAGAATTTTTTTCCTAATAATTTTTTGGTTTATTTCCTTGGTGTTTTCGGTGCCACTGAACCCACAGACATGGTTGTCATGAGGCGGTGTCAGTTGAGGTGTCAGGGAATATTCTTAAGTTACACCCCACTTTTCTTCCCCCTTTCGTCTCTACCAAGTTACCACTTGCCAAACTATACTTTGGGACGTACTCAGCCTCCTTCATCACTAGTGCACTCACGTGAGTCCCGAAGTTAGCAGGAAGGAATTGACTCCAGGTCCTGGCTGTATAAATTCTTTCAATAATTGAGAATATCCTAAAGAATTTTCGCACCGATTGTTGGGGTGAAACAAAATTTTTATTTTATACTTCGAAGTCTACCCCTCTTTTTCCTCCCTAGACACTTTTCTCATATTTTGTTATCAAGTATTGTCACGTCACGCATTCCGGGTTCACTGAAACTCATGAACAGCAACAACTTTCAATAATCAAATTGACTTCAAATAAAATTCACTTTTCACTTATCAAAACGTATTTATGGTCAAAATCGCACTCCGGATCTATCTAGAAAAACATCGAATTGAATGAAATGGAATTCCGAGAAGAGGCGCGCTGTCCAACGTAAACAAGTCCCTTATTTCTCAGAATCTTGGCCGGATTGTCGATGCAATTTCGTAACACTGCCTCCTTAAATCAGATCGTCCGGATCTGACTGTCAAGATTCAACACCTTCTCTCCAACCTATGTATCTCACTAAGATCCATGATGATTCCATCTATTTCATTTGCTCAACATCTCTATGCCTGTCTAAGTGGACTGCTTACTGAGCGCAGTGCCTAGACCGCTCGGCCATCTTGACCCTCCAGATCTACCCTCATGGTCTGCGTGGCTCTTCTTTCCTTAGAATGACGTCATGGATACTAGTTAAATAGCTGTCTTTTCCCTGTTGTCTGCCATGCTGCCAACTGCCTTCTCTGCGCCTTCGTGGTTGGTCGCAGCACTCGTAGCACTACTAGCACTCCTCTTTATGAGAATCCGCAGAGCGACCGTTTGAGGGATAACTTTGACCATCTGGATCCTCAGTAGTCGTAATCCACTAATCTCCCTGTTCCTGGTCTTTCTTTCCTTGCTTGTCGAATTTTTCTTCTCTACCTTTTGTTGATCTATCCCCGGCTTCCATAAAATGTCGAAAAATTATTCGACGTCGAGGCAGAGTTGCCAAAAACACGGGTTTCGAAAATTTCTATTGAGTTTTAAGGTTTTTGTGATAGTTTTCGTGTTTTTGGAGGGTTTT